GCATTGTTGTGTAGAACTTCCACCCAGCCTCGTCCAGGAGTTGTTGAATTCAAGCCTATTTGAGAATGAGCTTGAAGAAATTATTAACCAAACATTAAAAATACATAACATAAAATTACCATGATCAATTTGAATTGCAACCATTTTTACGGAGCAATTTATAGAAACATGCCTTTGAATAATCATATAATTTTAATAATTCATTTATATAGCACCTAGTGTCCATCTGACTAGTTGCTCATTCTGTAATCAGAATCTGATTATTATTACCCCTGGATAACCCAAGCTGCCTGTTGGGCGCTAGAAGGTATACAGTCACTTGATATTATCCAACCGGATGAACAGAAGCAATTTTGATCAAACTCACTTGCCTAAGGTGAAACAAATGTATCACAAGTGCTTCGTTGTGGGAAAGGACTAAAGTCCTAGAAACTCTCAGGAGTCAATCTGCTAAACACGGTGACTCTCCGAGCTCGACGTTGCTTAACTGCAACTGATTCGTGAATTGAGCTCTACGCACAGGACCCCACACCGCCATGATTGTGTTATCTGGGCTTAAAAGCAAGAAGTGCTTAACATATGACAATGAAATAGCACTCACGGAACGTGTGAAACAATGCGAAAATCCCCAAAACGTTTTTGTAATGTTCTATTTCCTTAAATATCCATCCATCAACCATAGTAACCCTTACCAGAGGGACAACGTATTCCAACTACAAACGACAAGGTACAGTTGACAGAATACCAAGGATAGTGCAGACATCCATTGAGGGTGAGCTCTGTGCCAAGACACATCACTTGATCCATGACTATTTTATGTGTTGATCTTGATGGTAAGAGAGCAATTTTGCTTTCCCCAATCCTGAAAAATAGATCTTACAATATCAGATTGAACGTAAAAATGTTGGTTCCTGAAATTGCATTCAGTTTGTTTGTAGGACATTATTTCTCAAATTAGGAATAAAGAAACCGCAAGCAGATATTTAAAGCCGCACATTTTATAATTACACATTTGCTAAGCCTCAAGCCTTTCACACATGAAGAAAACGTTAATCATTTTACGTCTTGTGTGCCAACAGTCTGCAGGCTACTGCTGCCTCGTCCACTCCTAATCCAGTACAGAAGACCTTTCCCAACCGTCCACCATAGTACAGCGCAAGCACTCCTGCTCCTGGCGTGGTGGTGGTGGGGATAAGCCTTGCCCCTATAGCCTCAACTTGCAAAAATGTACTCAACAAATTGATATATTCTCGGTGCTAAGTTCAAACAAATCTAGAATGTTTTCATCACAAGGGATAAGTATTTCAATGTCAGTACATACAAGGACAATTTCAGTAATGCTAATTATATTTTAAATTATTGAATATTTAAAGGAAATAGAACTTATTGACAAATTTTAAGTTGTTATCTATAGTAGATATATACAGTTTTATAAATGGAAGTTTGAACTAATAACTGAGATTGTTAGTGGCTGTATCCTCAAAGGGGGGTAAAGTATGGTAATTTTATTGTCCTCCGGAGAGGGTACGTAAGTCCCCACACTTACACAGTATATTTAAACATACCAGATCTTGAAACGTAGTATTTTTGTGATTTTAAATTATGGGTTAACTTTCCTACAATCGCCAGTGGCTGAAGGGATGATGTAAATCCTGCTAGGGTCCATGCAGGTAGCAAAGGTACTGAAAGTACCCATAGTCCCTAGTATGGTGATCTACCTTCGGTTGTTGGCGATTTGTAACCGTCGTCGATACATAAGAACTGCTGTCCATCTTTTGTTTGAGATCATGTTCCTTCGAGTTGAACGTAAGGTTGAGACTTGGGTAGGTTTGGTACGAGAAGGAGAATGATGGCACTGATGCCGGGTCGGGCATATTGGAAAACTCTTCGTAGATCTGTTGAATTGGTGGGACGTCCTCATATACAGGGGTTGAATCTGGTCTTTTGATTCTAATGGGAATGGTTGTACTGCGTTGCAGACTTAATGAAGTCTGCATTGGTGGAGCAGCGGTCCTTGCATGCGGAATGCACACATTTCAGATGTGTTGTAGTCTGTTGTCTCACGTTAAGGCGACAGCGGTACCAGCAAACAATACTTGCTGTCCTCCTGCTTGCGAAGTGATAAATTCAACACGTTGAAATTTGCCATTGTGTAATGGGGGCTGTTGGTTCCCAGTCTATTTAAAAGGTGAGAATCCCTTTGTGATGAAAGAATCACGGTCAAGCATGTCCAGCTTGACTGTGTTGAATATCCCATCACAAGGGATAACTATTTCAAATCACGAACTATGAAGGATTGTTCTAATAATATAAGTTCTCATTTAGTTATTGCGTTTTTAAAAGCATTAGATTTGTTGAATGAATTGTAAATAGATAAATATATTATGTTTGGAAGTTTAAATTAGTAACACAGATTGTTAGTGGCTGTATCCTCAAAGGGGGTTAAAGCATTGTAAAACTATTGTCCCCTGAGAGGGTACGTAAGTCCCAAACATTCAAAGTAAATTAAAACTGTCCACTTTTTAATCGTAGAATATGTGTCTTTATAATTTATGGCTAGATGTACCTTAATTGCTAGCGGCTGGAGGGATAGTGTAATTCCAGCTAGGCCCATGTAGGAAGCAACTGTACTGTAAGTCCCCATCCCATGGTCCCTAGTATGGTAACCTACCTTCAGTTGTTGGCAATCTATAGTCTGTTTTTATATTGTTTAGTCATTTATGGTGAAAATATTTTAGATTTAATTACTAGTTTTAAATGTATTCCTGTGATAATTTATTTGTTTTACTGACCTTTGCAGACGGGTAAGTATATTAACAAAATATGTCACGATATGGCTGAAATACTGCCGATGTGACTTTGAATTTTAACTCACTCACTCACTCTCATTTTAATTTATTAAGAGATTAATTAACTGAGCAGACATGGTGTCTTCACCAATTTAGTCTTTTCTATTGGTTTAAACAATGATAGCACATGGTGGTAACAAGATAGTCGAAACATATGTTGACAAGCCCTTTAAATTGACATGGGAGGAGATGCAGTGATTAAGTAAATCCTGAGTTTGAGATGATAATCTACACGACTAAATAAATATGTTAACTGTTTCTGAAAAAAAAAACCAAACAAACACTACCATTGTCTTTATGTCTCTTTATTGGATTATGAGGTTAAAACATGCTATGCTAGTTTGGTGATCTACCTTCAGTTGTTGGCGATATATAGCCAGTGTTCTTATTGTATTGTCCAAATGGTGCTATTAGTTTTAATTTTCCACACTAGTTTTAGTTGTAATTGTGATATTCTAGTTGTTTTACTGTCCTTTGTCGACAGGTTTTCATAATATTCATCTATTCCATTTCAATGTCACATATGTTTTCGTCACGATATGGCAGAAATATTGCCGATGTGGCGTTAGATAATAAGTCACTCACTCACTAAAACATGCTATGGATGTAGACAAACAGACCAACCCCAGCTTTGAAAGTTTAACTTTTCATTCATTCCCACCAATATCATCATGTCGTTAAATTTAAGTGAGCCTGCAATAAATAACCCAAACCTTCAACATACCCTTCAGTGACTGGTAAATGGTTGGTCAAAAATCATTTCCCATTCTGCCTACAGTATGTAGCTGGAATATTGCTGAGTGCAGCGTAAAAATAAACTCACTGTAGGCAGACTTGGATGTAACCTTGACACCTCCTCTGGCAATGCAAGTGAGCACTCCAGACATCATCACTAATTAATCTTATCGGCATTGTATATTCTGTACCCCTCCACCTACTGTCGTTTTTTAAGACTTGGATGTAACCTTGACACCTCCTCTGGCAATGCAAGTGAGCACTCCAGACATCATCACTAATTAATCTTATCGGCATTGTATATTCTGTACCCCTCCACCTACTGTCGTTTTCTAAGACTTGGATGTAACCTTGACACCTCCTCTGGCAATGCAAGTGAGCAATCCAGACATCATCACTAATTAATCTTATCGGCATTGTATATTCTGTACCCCTCCACCTACTGTCGGTTTCTAAGAAAAATTAATGCTGACACTGTTGTTGCATAACATTTCTCGTTGTTTTGATTATTTTGTCAATGCTTGTGTTGGCTGGTTGCTGCTTAACGCCGCATTCGGCAATATTCCAACTGTATGGTGGCGGTCTGTAAACAAGAAAATCTCGTGATCAACTGCGTGAGTATCGATCGACGCAATTGGGATACGATAGCATGAGTCAACCAAGTCAGCAAGCCTGACCACCCGACCCTATTAGGCGCCTCTTACGACAACCAAGGTCTTGAGCAACGCATGTATGTCGTAAAAGGCCACTCACTCACTCACTCACTCACCCACCCACCCCTGGTTAAAACACTTGTGTGGATACCATGTTTACTGGGTATATGAGATGGATGGTTCGACCAAACCTTTCAATTGTTTTTAAAATAATATCATGTGGTAAAAGACCAACAAAAGCATGCAGATCACTTGTACAAAACAATTCACCAGAGAGCTTTAGTTACTACTCTGTTGGTATCTCAAAGAAGGAACTATACCTACGTATTAATGTATCACATTATATATTCTGGGACTGTAATATATACATGACGAGGGAAACGTGTCAGCTTAAAATATTCCACTGGAGTCACTTGCGAAAGAGGGCGGTGGGGTAGTCTAGTGGTTAAAGCGGTTGCTCACGCTGAAGACCCGGGTTCGATTCCCCACATGGGTACAATATGTGAAGCCCATTTCTGGTGTCCCCGCCGTGATATTGATGCAATATTACTAAAAGCGGCTTCAAACTAAATCCACTTCCTGACTCACTACATATCAGCAAATCCACACATGATAAATTAAAATTCAGACGTTTCACAAATGTACAAACATGACAAGGGAAGGTTATTTTAAAACATAACTTCCCTTTACTCATGTTATTTATTTAGTTTTGTGACACAGATTATTTCCGTGAGATGTGCATGTTCTGGGCATTTACTTGCGATTAGCGCAATGATGAGTAAACATGCGGAACTATCATGACTCAAGTCACAGCAGTTCGCCCAGGGTATTCATCGCGGAGGATCATGGTGGACTGTGGACTGTTTATATTTATTGTCTACTTATGATTTCTCTGAAAGGACATGGATACATTTTACTTGGACTACGGAGTAACCTGGCAATGATTACAGGGTGACGTGAAACATTCCACTTTGCAGATTCAAAACCATGACTGTGTGGTTGAACGAGGCCAAGTGCTTTGCTTTGTGTAGTGTTGTGGTTCTGACAGGTGGGTTGTATGTTTGTGTGTAAAGCAGTTCCCGTCATGGTGCCTCGCGATATGGAACGTTCACAAGCGCGTGTGTGTGTGTGTGTGTGTGTGAGAGAGAGAGAGAGAGAGAGAGAGAGAGAGAGAGAGAGAGAGAGAGAGAGAGAGAGAGAGAGAGAGAGAGAGAGAGAGAGAGAGAGAGAGAGAGAGAGAGAGAGAGAGAGAGAGAGAGAGAGAGAGAGAGAGAGAGAGAGTTTAGTTTTACGCCGCACTCAGCAATATTCAAGCTATATGGTGGCGGTCTGTAAATAATAGAGTCTCGACCAGACAATCCAGTGATCCACAGCATCACCATCGATCTGCGCAATTGGGAACCGATGGCATGTGTCAACCAAGTCAGCGAGCCTGACCACCCGATCCCGTTAGTCGCCTCTTGCAACAAGCATGAGTTACATTCTAACCCGGACCTTCACGGGTCTATGTATGTATGTGTGTGCGCGTGTGAGTGTGTCTGTCTGTCTGTATGTCTGTCTCTGTGTCTGTATGTATGTGTATCTATGTATTTGAAACAATGAGCCATGTCGATGACATTTATTTTTCTTTATTCCAGTGGCCTCTACTGACCTTAATCTCACAGGGGGTCCTCTTCCAGTGGCATCGAGAGACGTGCTTACACTTTCCTGCAGTAGGACAACGAAAGATGTCCCACCGTTATTGGCAGTAAGATGGTATAGAAGCACAAAGGCGATGTTTCAAACAGCTGGGGGACAGATCCTCCCAGATGACTCAAACAGAGAGGACTATGATGAAGTCTCAGGACGTGTCAATGTGACCACCAACACACAAACACATAAGGTGATGCTACACACTGTCTCCACCCTGGATGATAGGTCTGTGTGGAGATGTAGCGTGGACGACTACTACAGTAACAACATCCGCGTTGTAGTCCTGGATCCGACAACAGGTATGTACGTCATAGTGACGTTCTGTTTTGGTAAGGAATACACTTTGTTGTTTACATAACATTAGGAGGCACATTCCTGGGCACGTGACAATTGACCCGTCGATGGCATGGGCGCTAATATCCCAATAAAACGGGCTGAAGATCGCCAGCAGCTGAAGGTAGGTCACTATGAGGGGGACCATGGGGACTCACATTACTTTTGCTACCTGTGTGGACCCTAGCTGGAATTACATCATCCCTTCAGCCGCTGGTGGAGTCCTGTTAGAGATGAAATGCTATTTAAGATTAGAAAACCTCGATCATTAGCGCGTTCAGTTCTATGTAAAGAAAAGGTGTCCAAGATGTAAACTCACTGTTGCATGCCTAGTGTTATTTCGATTATTCGATATTTGACAATGTTGTACGCAATGTACTGGGTTATTATAAAGGAGTGCTATTGTGACCTGAAGATTATCTGAGAATAGTTTCAATTATCTTTACTGGCGATTGAAATTTGTTGTATTCTACCAACCCTTGGATCTGGAACCTTTCGATCGCCACTTCTCACCTTTAACCTATAGGTTACTCTAAACGTATATAACCGAAAGCAATGACTCGAGCATTCACCACCACATTGCTTAAACGTGTTAATTATATGGAGGATATTCTCGAACAGCTGCATAGTTTAGCTGTCAAATATTTTGATGATATTTTTACAAAACAGCGCACTACACCGCCGAGTACTTTTCCTTCCTTCCTGAGAAGACAGAATCATAGCTCAGTGTTTGTGTCCACAATGTTCGGTATGACATGTAAACAGGAAATATTTATTTTTTTGTTTCCATGGAAATGATGCACTGTGACTCTTCCAATGAACCATTCAGCCACTTTGCTTGAAATATTATAGGTTTGCATCTTTATCAGATCCACACGTGCTGTGTTTCAGACGAATCACCTGGTACTCCCAGCCTATACCTTATAGTGGGGTCCAGTGTTGGGCTCGTCACCTTCATTGCCCTCATCGTCATTGCTGTGGTCTGGATGAAACACAGTTCAGGTAGGGATAGAAATCGTCAGTGCAAAAGACCGCCCAGTTTTGACTATCCTCAGAAACAGATTATATTTAGTGCTAAGGGCACATAACTGAAACATTTAAGGCTAAAATCAGCGACGGAAAAGAGTAAACATGCCTCCCCATTCACACAATGGAACCAACAAAAGAAGCGTGGCCTTTCAAAATCCAATGCAAGATTTTGTTCTTACAAAGTTGTGTTTTTGTAATGATTGTATCTTTTTGTCAATGTAATTGTCAATCCAAATCGACATTTATTACCAACCTCAGGGTGATTTCTTATGAAAAAGCATATCTACCAAACGCACCTAAAAGGCAGACGTGGTAAAAGTTTCCGTGTGACATTCGTGCAAATGAAAATGCACGTGCATATAGTGACAACCCTACCAATGAAAGCGAGTCCCAAACTCGCCTGAAATCATTTTTGTTTTGACACAATTGCCATGCCACGACTTACGAGTGATCAGAGGAACCAAGTCTTTGGACGATTGCAAGTTGGCCAGGCTGCACGGAAGGTAGCACTGCTCTTTATTGTCAAACTTGCCCTTTGAATGATACTGCACTACATATGCTGTATAAGTAAATGAAACGATTCGTCTCAGATTTTATGGCAATTGACATTAAACACAAAATGATCCATTGTTTCATCTGCAAATTTCAGAGAACCCCAAAACTACAGATGGATACATCACAGCCACTTTGGAATCTCCCGAGAACAATACAGATGGATACATCACAGCCACTTTGGAATCTTCCGAGAACAATACAGATGGATACATCACAGCCACTTTGGAATCTCCCGAGAACAATACAGATGGATACATCACAGCCAAGCCACTTTGGAATCTCCCGAGAACAATACAGATGGATGCATCACAGCCACTGTGGAATCTCCCGAGAACAATACAGATGGATACATCACAGCCACTTTGGAATCTCCCGAGAACAATACAGATGGATACAGCTACACTGGAGTGAATGAGAGAGAGGGTTAGTAAATATTTAGCGTCATGTCACAGCTACCCTGGAAACTCGGGAGAACAATACAGATGAATATCTCACACTTAAATCTCCTGAGAACATCGTATAAGCAGCCAGTATTATGACCCCGTTTTACTAGATAAAGTTTCTACTCAGTTATTTCACCAATCAGTTGTCAGAAAGGATTCTGAATTCCACGACGGTAAAACAGTACTTCACCAAGCAGTTGTCAGAGAGGAATCTGAATTCCACGACGGTAAAACAGTACTTCACCAAGCAGTTGTCAGAAAGGACTCTGATTTCCACGACGGTAAAACAGTACATCACCAAGCAGTTGTCAGAAAGGACTCTGAATTCCACGACAGTAAAACAGTACTTCACCAAGCAGTTGTCAGAAAGGTCTCTGAATTCCACGACGGTAAAACAGTACATCACCGAGCAGTTGTCAGAAAGGACTCTGAATTCCACGACGGTAAAACAGTACATCACCAAGCAGTTGTCAGAAAGGACTCTGAATTCCACGACGGTAAAACAGTACATCACCAAGCAGTTGTCAGAAAGGACTCTGAATTCCACGACGGTAAAACAGTACATCACCAAGCAGTTGTCAGAAAGGACTCTGAATTCCACGACGGTAAAACAGTACATCACCGAGCAGTTGTCAGAAAGGACTCTGAATTCCACGACGGTAAAACAGTACATCAAAAGATTTCATATCAGTGAGTCCAGATAGACAGAGATTGTCAGATGTGAAATGAGAGATGGAAACAGATGGAATAGAAAGTACTGTGTTTGACAGGTGAAAACTGAAAGACGTAACAGATGGAAATTGATAAATGGAGACTGGTTGGTTGGGGCAGAAAGACAGAGATTAAAAGTTTAATGGATGGAGACCGGATACACTGAAACTTACAGATGGCCATTTGTAGTTCAAGATAAATATACATTCATGGAATTGGCTTGTAGGGGATATTCGTCTGTAAAGATTGACACTTTAGATTAAAAGACGGAATCAATAGTTGCAGATAATTTATGGGGAATAATGGAAACTTTTGACAAATTTGGGATACTGATTAATGCATACAGTTTTCTTTTATTTGTAATTATAATCTATATGTAAACGTGATGGTTCAAGTCTGGGTGGATACGAGTTGCTGTAGTATTATGTTTGTTCCTTGTTGTTCAACGCCGCACGTAGCAACATCCCATCTATTTGACGGCGGTGTGTAAATAATCGAGACTGGACCAGACAATACAGTGATTAGCATTATGACCATCTTTCTACGCAACTGTAATACGAGTGAGTGAGTGAGTTAAATTTTAAGTAACGTCGGCAGTAGTTCACCCATATCGTTACTAAGACAAGTTACTAAATTATAGCAAGTTATTAAATACATGATGAATAAATATAAATTGTATAAACCTGTCAGCGAAGGACAGTAAAAACCGCTAGCATATCATAGACACAGTTATTAAACCTAGCATTTATCTCTGCGAATTTCTTTCTTTCAGAACAATACAATATAACAACGGGCTGTAGATCACCAGCAGCTGACGGAAGATCGCCAGGGACATTTCCTCCGAAACTCTTACCACGAGGAAGTGACACACTTTCAGAAATACTTTTCAGTGATAGTTCAATCACCGGTGTGTGTGTGTGCGCGTGCGTGCGTGCGTGCGTGCGTGTGTGTTTGGGAAAGAGAGATTAGAGATAGAGGGAGATATGTATAAGTGGGATGGTGGGTTTGTTTGGTTTTACGCCCCTTATAGCAAAGTATCTAGCAATATCACGGCGGGGGACATCTGAAATGGTCTTCACATATTGCCCATGTGGGGAATCGAACTCTGGTCTTCGACCTGACGAGCCAACGCTTTAACCAGAAGGCTATCCACCTCCCCAGATATGTATAAGTTAGAGGGAATAACTATCGATATATATAGATCATCGACAGGTGCCAAATCGATAAGACAGTCACGCCGGTCTAGAATTTCGTTCTTTACAAACCATTTTAATTAATGTAACTTATCAAAAATGTTTTCCCACTATGTAATCTCGAAATATAAAGTTTTATGTGAACGTATTTTTTACTTCCGTTATGTTTCAAGAGCAAATACGCGATAGAATGTGCAGCGCACTAGTTTTAGGAATGTGAAACTGAGATTATTATTATAAAGTACGGAAACATTTTAGGCCAGGGATCCCTTATTACATAGCTTCTCTTTCTCCTGTAATGTTTTATTTTCATTAATACAGACAAACTAGGAAGTTTTGTGGCTTTGCCCATCGTGACAAGTCAATGCAATGTGCAATTCCGCCATTGTTTAAACTTGGAGAGAAATGCTCTTTAACTGTCAATTGTTTCCGAAAGAGCACACAGTACCAATCGGTTTTCATTTATATTTTCAAAACATTACTCTGGAATGCATTTTGTAGTTGGTTAGAAAGGAATCTTCATATCACTAAAACAATGTTTTAGGCGTTCAGTATACAACTGGGGCGGTGGGGTAGCCTAGTGGTTAAAGCGTTGGCTCGTCACGCCGAAGACCCGGGTTCGAATCCCTCACATGGATACAATGTGTGAAGCCCATTTCTGGTGTCCCCCGCCGTGATGTTGCTGGAATATTGCTAAAAGCGACGTAAAACCAAAACTCAGTCAGTCAGTCAGTCAGTATACAACTGGTAATGAGTATCCTCCATTTTGTTGTACGTACCGGTCAGTACTTGTTTCGCCTTTATGTGATAAGCTGAGAATGCAGTTGGTGGTGAGGTAACCTGTGGTTAAAGCCTTCATCCGTCACACCTAAATCCCGGGTTCGATTCCCAATACGAGTAGAATGTGTGAAGCCGGTTTCTGGTGTATCTTGTGATATTGATGAACTGTTACTAAAAGTGACACACTCACACACTCAACACTGACTTCTGCAATATGGAGTTTCCCTTGCTATTAATTTCCTCGTTTCGGTATTACGCATTGCGGTGAATGGGTGAATAGGTTATGAAGTACTACTAGAGGTTGACATGACCTGATGAGAAACACAAAGCGAGATTGTTAATGAGCAGCCACTTGCTTTAAGATGCACAGTCAAAACATGGTTGATGATAACTTCATCTGGTAAAATAGTCAATGCCGTTTAGTTCCAATTTATGAGGTGAGGTGGTGAGGTGAAATTGGGTTTAACGTCGTGCTTGAGAATATTTCGCTCATATGACGACGTACATGCGTGTGTATGTGTATGTGCGGCTGCCCAAACTTAAGCAGTTTTATAGTGCTAGCCCACTGAGATACCATGCCGCAGTGAAGCGTGAATACCACACTCAGACAGATTATAGTGACTCCGAGCCGACCAGTCCTTGTACCCATTAATGCCGAGCTCCAAGTACCATATTTTAACGTCTTTTGGTATGACGCGGTCGGGGATCGAACCCGCGACCTTTCACTCTCAGGGTGGACGCTCTAACCTCTACACCATGGAGGCGGTCTTCAATTTATGACGTTAGTCTGTCGTTTATGTACCGTTCTTACCTTCATGCTGCCATTCGGTGAGTTAGTGAGTTAAGCACATGTGTGGCAATACATATAACTGTAAATTTGTAAATGTGCTGTTTTACATCCTTGTATATTTATTATTTCCCAGATACATAGCGTTTCGCAATGTTTTCGATTTCCTTTCTGTCGAAGAGAAAAACAAGTTGAGGCGTACATTCGTTTGTTTAACGCCGTTATCAGCAATATTCCAGCTCTATGATGACAGGCTGTAAATAATCGAGTCTAGACTAGACGATCCAATGATCAACATCATGAACATCGATCTACGAAACTGAGAGACGGTGACTTGTGTTGTCTGCGTGCGTTCCGACCGGTGCATCGTCACATGCACGCGTAGATGTGTTTTCAGGATGAAGTTATCTTTTTCTTGCGTAGGGGTCTTCCGTCAGGAATAGGGCGGTGGGGTAGCCTAGTGGTTAAAGCGTCTGATCGTCACGCCGAGCACCCTGGTTCGATTCGCCACATGGGTACAATACGTAAAGCCCATTTCTGGTGTCCCCCCGCCGTGATATTGCTGGAATATTGCTAAAAGCGACGTGAAACTAAACTCAGTCAGTCAGTCAGTCAGGAAGCTTGTTGAGATGCTCGTGTTGACATTCATGTATATCTTTATGTATATCTAAACTGTCAATGCACTTATTATGATACACGGCTTCATTAACATACATACATACATACACACACACACACACACACACACACACACACACACACACACACACACACACTAACATTTGTATAGCGCCGATATCCAGCTCTGCTCAAAGACGTTCACTGGATGTCAATCTCAACGGCACATCGCATTGTCAATCTCAACTCCCTTGGGATCATACAACTCTTGCAGCTACTAGGCGCACCGAGTTAACGGGGCATTCCCATCCTTACGAGGTACCCATTCACAGCTGGGTGGACTGGGACACATAGTCACAGTCCTTTGTCCAAGTTTACTGCACGTTGCTGTACCCGCAACTGGGTGTTTGCACGTATTCATGTGGCCACCATCTGGTCATATACCAACGGATTCGTGGGTTCTTTTAAGTGCACAGGGTTGTGTACTGTACACTAGGGGTTGTGACAACACTGAAAGAGTCTGCACACAAAGTTGACTCCAAGGTTTTTACACCCGGTCACAGGTGGGCTCGATCCCGTCACCTCACGCTCGCTGGATCACTAGCCTGGCGCTTTAGCCAGTTCGCCCACCGCGCCCCCAACGTGTGTCATCAGCAGAGATGAAAAGTCGCAAGCATCAGAATCTGTGCAGGTTCAGACTATATTAAATGGCAATACCAGCCAGTTATGCTTCAACCCACGACCACATGACCAATGTGTGAAGCCCATTTCTGGTGTCCCCCGCCGTGGTATTGCTGGAATATTGCTAAAAGCGGCGTAAAACTTAACTCAGTCAGAACTGCAACCCACGAAGCTATAACATACATCCTAGTGAATAAACAGCTGAATATCAAATATTCTAATACATGTAGTTATCCAACAACTGACATCTTCGGAATTGCACATGGATACTATCGAATGTAAAGGGGATATATTTGCACAGAAAGGGCCCACAATGCTTTACTTTGCAGAATATTCTTACCCTTATTCTAACTTCCCTTTTTATCTGGTGCTGAGTAAGGGATACATTCCGGAATCCTGGCTCGGTGGTATTACTCGACCTATTTATAAGAAAATCGGCGATAGGAATACCCCAAACTCGTATAGACCCATAACGCTCCTAAGTTGCTTTGGAAAATTGTTGACACGTATTTTAAATGAAGACTAACATTACTTGCAGAAATCAATCATGTCCTTCCACCTGCACAAGCAGGATTTAGAAAAGGGTTTTCGACTGCCGATAATGTGTTTATTATGAATATAGTTTTAGAAATATTAAAATTATCTAAGCGTAAACTTTATTGTGTATTTATAGATGTCACTAAAGCCTTTGACACCGTATGGCGCGCAGGGCTGTAGTATAAAATGCTACGATATGGTATCAATGGCAAATTCTTAACGCTTGTTAGAAATATGTATCATAATATAAAATCATCTGTTATCACTGGCTATGAAATGTCTCCCTTCTTTCAATGAAGAAAAGGTGTTAGGCAAGGTGAAAACTTATCACCACTACTATTTTCTATTTAATAAATGATCATGAATCTTCTTTATTAAGAAATGGATGTACAGGTGTGAACTTTGAAAATGCAAACGACGATGACATTTACCTTTGGTTACATTTGATTGTCCTATTATATGCCGACGACGCTCTCATTTTCAGTGAATCACCTAAGGAACTTCAGAAATCGTTAAATAACTTTCATGAATACTGTTTCAAATGGAAACTTAAAGGTAATCTATCTAAAGCTAAGATTGTCATATTTGGAGGTGGGCCCTCGAGAACAGTCAATTCAAAATTTTCATTTTTGCTAGAAATGGTAGGTTCTTGACAGGTATTAAAGCGATAGTAGAAAATGCAACTAAAGCTAGGTTTGCCCTTTTTGAACAAAGCCCGAAATTTAAACCTACCTATTGATTGTACCCTAAAAGCATTTGATACTATGATAAGTCGGATTCTCCTTCATGGATGTGAAGTATGGGGATTTGAAAACCTGAACATTATAGAAAAAGTACATCTCAGATTTGTTAAATTTGCTGTTGGCCTTCGAAGCTCCACTCCAAACTTTATGGTGTATGGCGAGTTTGGCCGAGAACCACTCTACATCAAATTTTACAAACGAGTTATTTCTTTTTGGCATAAAGAAGCAACAATTAACCAATACTGTAAACTCTCCTCACTGATGTATAATTTTATCTCTGTTAATAACTTTGGTTGTCAACTCCGATGGATATCTTTTGTTACAAGAATACTTAATACCTGCGGTTTATCAGAGGTTTTCTCAAACCCCACACAATGTCACCAAGTCATGGCTGGTCCTAAAAGTTGAAGCTGCTCTAAAAGATCAGTTTTTACAACATTGGCGTAGCTCCATAGAAACTAGTTTTAAAGGTCAATTTTAAATGTTTTAAGAATTGAATGTCACTTTGTGTGTTTGCACTGAAAAATGAACGATGTCAACGCGTTGTTCAATCTCGTGTGAACGAGCGAGTTTACAAGCGAGTTCACACGAGAGTTTGAACAACGCTTTGACATCGTTCATTTTTTCAGTGCAAACATACAAAGTGACATTCAATTCTTATAATTTCGCACTTTGATGTTTACACATACGTTTTTTACCCACTTCTACGTGATCATTGTTTACAGTGATGTGTTTTAATATCTGTAAAATGTTGTAAAGTCATTGTGTTCAAGAGCGTATTGTAGCAATGTTTGTATACTTGGCGACTTTTTTACACATGTATCCCAACCCTTGAAGAAATAGTTCTCAAAGTATTCCTTAAAATATTACAACAAATTCGTCAATAGATTTGAAACTGCTTAAATAAGCATAACATCAATAAAATTATCAAACAGAAACAAATATCAATAACAATATCATTTTAACAAACTGTCATTGTACCTATAAAACTATGACGGATTCGTTTGACCTCGTAATAATACACTGACCGACTTCGAAGTTGTGCGGCGTGGCGAATAGGAAGCAGATCTCGTTGGTGTAGTCTATTTATTTGTGATTGTTTATTGTGAAATTCAATGAACAGTATTTAAACAGATCACGGGACAGAACCCGCAAACCGCGAGAGATTAAACTCTTGTGATAAGGAACAATGCTCGGCAATTGGAAATCCGTTTGGTCGTGAAGAAGCGACATTGCCAAAATTGGGGTGACTTGAAACAGGATCACCAATGCAGCAAGATCATTTGGGTTCCTTGAAACCGTAGCGGAAATTTGAAAATAAGGTCGCACTGGCTTGGACTTGTTGTCGGACGCGTTGTCGGTCAGATTTTTGCAAAACTGTGCTCAGTTGGTGCTTTTTGTTACATACAAAAACAAGTAAGTGATATGTATAAATTAAAAGGAGTGTGAATGCAAATGGTTTATT